ATAGAATATGGGAAGAGACACCACCATATTTTCTGTCTTTTTTATTTATTTATTTATTCTGTCCTTTTTTTTTTTTTCCCAGATGGAATTTTATTTCGAACGGGCCCGGTGCCCTCCCCATCCCGAGCCATCCCTCTGTAGAGAACCAGAAAACAAAAACACTTCTCAACAAACTAATTCCTAATACTAAACGGGACAAGAACACCGAAAATCATAACACAGAAAACCTATGGCGAACACAACCTCCAAGCCCTACTGGTTAAACCCAAAACAGGGGAAAATATTTTTTTGTCTTTTATGAATGTGGCGAGTCGTAGCGGAGCGTGGCGCAGAGTGTTCCGAGCTACCGTCTTCACCCGAATAGAACGCCCGGTACTTATTGCTGCATCTGGACTGAAAGTTGCATCAAATACAGCGATAATGACCGGGCGTTCTATTCGGGTGAAGACGGTATCGAGTAAGAACTGCCGGGTAGGAGGAGGACGACCGGGGGCAAGAGCGAAGACCCGGGGCCACCGTCTTCCCCCGAACACAACGCACCCTCATTCTGACTGTATCTGGCCGGAAACATGGCTTGTATACTTTCCTTTTCAGAGTGCGTTATGTTCGGGGGAAGACGGTGGGTCCCACTTGCACGAATTATGAGATACTGACCCTAGAACGGCCGAAATCTCCTCATTTGCGCAAGTGGGACCTTGCCCCCGAGTTCGAACCCCACTGGAAGCTGATGAGTGAAATATACTACCTACCTTCTTCCCCCAAATACAACGTACGGTCATTATAGCTGTGTATTTAGACTGAAAGATGGCCCAAATTCGGCTACAATGACCGTACGTTGTATTCGGGGGAAGACAGCAGGGCAGGCAAGAGCGAAGACCCGAGTTCCAACTCCACTGGCAGTCTTGACCGCAGCAAATTATGTAAGGGACACCGGGCCCGTTTCCCGGCTACATGAATATGGTTAAAAAAAATAATAATAAAAATGAAGGCTGCCCCCCTTAAGGAATAAAAATAAAAATAAATAAATAAAACAAGGAGAACAAAAGTCTTAGAGGGAAAAAAGGGAGAAAGAGGAAGATCGGGCAAAGGGAGAAGAAAGAAGGAAAGACGGCGGAGTGAAGGGATGGGAGCCAAGAGCGGAGGAAGGAGGACAGGGAAACTGGGAACTCTTAGAAAAGATTGATTCATAAGAGAAGCGATCAGGACTCAGGAGGGTGGAAAGAGAAGAGTGGCTAGACTGCTACAGCTCTGGAGCGAGCAGAAGAATTCGAGCTGTGTGTCTGTGCGTGATAACCTCCCTTCATTTACGAAACGGGAGGGAGGGAGAAGGGAGATAGGAGGAAAAGAGGAGAAAGCTTGAAGAAAAAGGAGAAGAATTGAGGAAAGAACAAGCTTGGGCAAAGGGAGAAGAAGAGAGGGAGGATGGAGTGAACGAGGAAGGCAAGCGGGAAGGAAGAAGGACAGGAGGCCTGAAAGGACTGACGAAGAAAAGAAATCCGCCAACAAAAGTGAGCGAGCGAGCGAGCGAGCGAGAGAGAGAGAGAGAGAGAGAGAGAGAGAGAGAGAGAGAGAGAGAGAGAGAATTAGAAGGTGTGTGTGTGTGTGCGTGTGTGTGTGTGTGTGTG